TATTACTTGGTCTTTCAAAAGTACAAACATTCCTAGCATTTCAAATTGTTCTTTTTCTACGATAAAGTTACGATATCTGATATACTTGGTCTTATTTGCATTTAGGAGATTTTGGCAGAACATCAAAATAGAAAATTTGTATCAGTAGTCGTTCATCATCTGACTCGAGCTTCACGGAGAAAAATATTTGTTGATACTTCTCTCTCTCTCTCTCTCTCTCTTTCTCTCTCTGATGAAATGCAAAACCATCGTTGCAAGTTTTATCTTGTAAACAAACAATTTGCAAATTTCTCTTTCTCTGAATGAATCCTACCATTCATTTCTATTTAACAAATTGTGTATATTAATTTTGATCTCATATTTAGTGAAGATCAATTCCTCTTTAAAGTAAGTCATAGAGAAGATATTTTAATTTGGAGGATAATTTAATTCTGAAAATACCAGAATCACCGTCCTTCAGTTTCATCGCCTATTTCAAAATCAAAGTTAGTCGAGTCAAGTGACATACATACATATCCAAAGAATCTAATAGTTCATAACCGAGTTATGTTTAGATTTGGCTTTTCTTTAACCATATATCATTTGTTAAATCGGTAGGATATCCACGTGTATGATACTATATGCAGTCATCTCTTGCTCGGATAAAATCTTCGAAATAGCTCCCAAGGTGACTTAATTTCTAATTTCACTTAACTGTTGAATAATTCTGTCAACTGCATCTTTAATCAATGTAAATGGCCTTAATCGATCCTGCGTTACTCTTTCATGACTTGTTAAACGATTTACGCGATCATCTAAAATATTCGCCCCCGTGAAATCCGTCGCATAAATTTCATTTATGGAAGAGGAACGCAATAGCTGTCATAAATAGTTTCTTTATCGATAATTGAATGCTGGTTCAATGAATCACGCAGTGGCGTTGACATCTTCAGTCTCATCCAGTGAAGAGTTTGGCAGACAATCAAAATCATACATTAAGACACTAATAGAAGTGGCGCTGCTACTTTGAGTAGAATTCAACGGCTTTCAGTAAAGAACGACAGATTGTCAAACATTAATATCTTCATATTAACAGATTATTATCAATAAAAAACAAAATTTCTAAAGTCCTCAATGAAATGCAAATAGCACGTGCAATTCACTTTGTTTATGCGAAACAAATTTATCTAATGGTTAATTAATATGAAATAGATGGTAAAATTTGGTTTTTACAGTGTGTTTCAAGTCAAAATTCCTGGTCACTTCAGTATAAATTATCGCCGGCCAAAATTCAGTGAGAGATTCCTCGTAAATCAAAACGAACCTTGGGAGATCCAATAATTGTTTGGCTGCAAGTTCAAGCGTTATCGTAAATCGTCCCGAATAAAATGGTTCTGAACCATTGCCTGCTTTTGTGAAGTTATGAAACGTTTGGCAAACGTGCGGAATCGTTATTTTTTCACTTGTGAAGAATTACAACTCTGGTGCAACAATATAACAAATTAACAATATAACATTAGGTAATATTATTAATCAGAATAGATTAGAATTTTTCGGTTTTACACTACAAGTACAAATCTTTAAACATAGCTGCACTTTGGACGCCATTTCGTTCGTCGTAATATTGAAGTCTTAGAAGTTAGTAATGAATTGCACGCTCATTTCTCAATGTAAACATCATTATTATTGATGCAGCGATGATTGCCAAAGTTAAAGCTATTGTCAGAAAGTTGACAACCAGAACGTTTTGGTAGAAACTACTTCCTCGTTTTTCATTTATATCCCACATTCCTTTTAGCTTTTTTAAATACAAAAATATCATTAATTGTACCATCTTACTCGCATGTATTCACGCTGTATCGTCATAAATTTAGTTGCATGGCAAGGTGTCAATTTCATTTCGATACTTCTCAACATCTAAATAACGTTTGGATTCGTTGTCACCTGCTGCCGTAACATATCGTTCGCACCGAAATTTATTGGCTTGAACGGAAGAATTCAACCAAAACATGGTAACAAGTGTCTTATTCATCATTTGTAGATTGAGTCTCTAACACTTGAACGCGCCAGATTTATCGCGCAGTGGATTATATACATACATTCGCACTTCGAGGTAAATAATTACACGCAGAATGCGGGAAAGAGAAAGTTCAAATGAAAAATCTGGTCCATTTCGACGTATCATGAATAGACATAAATTTTCGATTATTCCCCCCCTCCCCCTTGTGTTTTGCAGTTTTCGTGGAACAATCCGACGTGCCTTGATAATTTCACACAATCGAGTTTCGACGAACGATGTTTCATATCGTGATCGTAAGTAGGTCGCGAGAATAGTATTTCTCATACGTACAGGCGTACGAAATGCAGCGCGATTTATATCAGATAATGACGCAACCGGTCCTAAAGAAAGAAATTGGGCCTACGGTGGGCGTTTGTGGCAACAATCGGATCGGCTTTAAATAACCGGCATCAACATTGCCCTTTTCCCAGCTTGTTTGTTGAACAAACTTTTCAATCGTCGTGCACCGTGCACTGCAACTGTTCCTTCAATGAGAAGGAAGAAAGTCGACGAGAATTCGAAAATTTTCACCGACACGATTTTCCCGTATTCTATTTGACGATATTTTTCCTTCCGACATGTCCTCATAAAATACCATCAGATTTTCTCCACCAACTACACGTTCGCGTGACATTTCGTCATTTTGCCTCGTCTAGAATACCCTACCGTCCGATAATGTTGATAAATTAAAACCATGAAGAGTAGGATCGCGAGTTCGGGAATTCCATCGGTGACGCGGGAAAAACGACGATCTCACCGTGTCTTCACGCGTGTGCACACCCTTTGGACATGTGCGACACGTACAGCTTCGGGCCCGTGTACTCCGTTCTAAAGATGTATTGGAGAAGTGTAAGAAGGGTAGCTATTTCTGGTCGTGGGGAGCCGAGAGACTCGTCGCGCAAACGGCACTCTCGGCCACTTGGTACATCGGCTAGTCTGGCGTTCGCCGCGTATCGCAATACACTTTTCGTAAGGGACAGCACGGGAACCTCTGCACAACATGACACGCGAGTCAGAGAGGCAGTGATCGTTAGAATCAGGGATAGGGGGCAATTCGAAAGCAATCGTTTGGTGAACGAGTGTATGAAGCTCGAGGGAACGTGGAATCCGTCGACCATCTCGAAAATATGGAATGATATCATCATCATTGACGAGAGAGACGAATGATCATGTACAGTTGTAATTGATCTATCGAAGAGTTCTAATTTGACTTTCGTGGTTAGAAGCGAGATTTCTCTGTGATCAACACGTCGTTGATCGGCTGCGAACATTGACGACGAGGAAACTTGTGGGTCCAGGATCGCTGATCTCAAGGAAATTAATTCAAATTCAATTCAACATTCTAAATATTCCAAGACTCTTTAAAGTTCTTCACCAGCACCTAGAATACCTGTCAGGGATTATTTTGTCCTTCGTTTTGAAGCAAAAGTGTGTACGGTTGATTGTCGTGGGCGCGAACGTCTGACAACCCGATACCGAGTGCAGTGCACCGGCGTGAAAATAGATGGTTGGTGGTTGGTGAAGATTGGTTGGTGAAAGTGACGAGGTGGAAATAGTTTGCCGCGCTGGATCTTTTGCCTGGGGCACAGGCAGATAGCACTTGCCATCCGTGGTCATCGTAAATGAATGGGAACCGTGGACAGCTCGACGTTTAGCGGCTGGCTTTGAACGGACGGGAAACGATGCTACGGGACAATTAACGCGTTCATTAATATCGGTGCAAGCTAGGCGAGCGACGAAGTACCACGCGGTCGTAGTACTACCACTACTCGTGAAGCCCGAAATAAGTTCAAAGTAAAATCGCGAAGTTATTACTAGACTGGTAACAAAGCTGCGTGACAAAGAGAATGAGACAAAAGATCCTAGAACGAGAATCCTACAGCCTAGAGAAAGACAAGAACGAGATTCATGAATGAGGCACGACATGGTACGACAAACGGATAGGAAAATATGTCAAGCTAATGTTTCGTCATTGCCGAAGTTGACAATCTTCGTCAATGTGGAAGCTGAACTGATGAAGAAGGTGAACTGTTGACAC